GAACGTGTTGTTTTATCCTATCCTCCAATCTTTGGATGGTGCGTCCTACGTAGCCAGAATCACACTGGCACGTAAATTCATAAACAACAGCATTTTTTTGTGGCAGGAACGCAGTCCTTTTGAATGGACGGAAGGGCCTTTTTTGTACTGTAAACAACACGTGGTTAACCGCGAAGAAACAATTTGTTATGGCCTGTTTTATTTGGCTTTCAAAACGTAGGGAGCTGTTACCGATCAAGGGTAGTTTTAGATAGACCAGGCACTTTTGAGGACCAAATTTTAGTCAGCCGAGAAATTTCCTATCGTCTCCTTAATGTAAACTGAAATAACATCCTCTGGATAGCCGTTCTCCAGAAAAATCTTAGTTAGTTTTTCAAGTTCCGAGTCGAGTTTAGATTTGGAACAAATCACCAGTGCCCTATGTGTAAGCGTTTTGATGAGGCTGATTTTTCTTTGTTTTGGGCAAAACGAACTCCATCGAGTGTATAATCCCATTGAGCGTGCTTTTCTACAAGATGAAATTCAGAAAACTAAAACTAATATTCTGAATCTAAAACGTTTATACACACGCCAATGGTCTAAAACGCGTCCGTTTCTCACATTCTTTGATAATTTCCGACTTTGCCGCTACTTTTCTGAAATTGACCAGCGGAAGCTAAAACAGAATACAGAAAAACATGATAGGAACATTGGCATGCTAGCTAGGAAACGTTTTGGCGGCTTGATGAGCGATTCAAAAAAACATATCTCTAATTTGTTGCACTATTCTCTCTCTGAAACCGAAACATTTGTCTTAGGTAATGGTCTTGAATTTTGTATCCCACCACAACGAATAAACAGAGAGGAACTTTTTGCTGAATTCGGAATTTTACACGCTCAACTTGCCAGACACGATATTTCTGATGCTTTGGAATGTAACAAATTACGAGCAAACTAAGCGATTTGGCGTACGCTTACAGCGGCTCTCCCATCGACCACTCAGATTTTCTTTTGCATAGGGAACATTTTCAAGCATTAAAATCTCTACGGTCTAATAATGACATCTTTATTACAAAGCCTGATAAAGGGTCAGGAGTGGTTATTTTGAACAAAAAGGACTACATCCAAAAAATGGAGAATATTCTCCTTGACAAAGAAAAGTTCGAAAAATTGGGTGACGTCGAAACACAGGATAAAACGGCCAAGCTAGAGCGGAAACTTCAAAAACGCCTTTTGGAGCTGGTTAACTCAAAAGTGTTGACCAACGAAGTTTATGATAGGATAAGACCCACAGGTTCACAACGTCCACAAATGTATGGCCTCCCTAAAATACACAATCCGAATGTCCCACTTAGACCCATTTTGTCTATGATTTGCTCAGCACAACACGAACTGGCTAAGTGGCTTTCTGAAGTCTTGGACCCTGTTCTTCAAAAATATTCAAAACATTGTATCAAGGACTCTTTTATGTCGCTGAGTTCATGCAAAACATGAACATCGAAAACGAAACATCTTTCATGTGTTCTTTTGACATTAGCAGTCATTTCACTAATGTCCCTTTGAATGAGACCATCAAAATATGTGCCGACGCTTTGTACCGGAGCGAGCTTAATAGCCCACCATTCCCAGAGGAAGTATTCATTGAACTGATGGAAACTGCAACACGTTCAGTTGAATTCAACTTTAACAATGAAAAGTACCAACAAAAGGATGGTGTTGCTATGGGTAGCCCTCTGGGACCGGCCTTGGCCAATATCTTTGTTGGCTTTCATGAAGAGCGTTTGTTTGACTGCGACCAAAAGCCAGGTGTCTATTTTCGGTATGTGGATGACACATATACTATTTTCAAAACAGAGGCTGAATGTGATATTTTCCTAAAACGCCTTAATGGTCTACACACAGCCCTACATTTTACATTTGAAAAGGAAGAAAATAACTCCTTGCCATTTCTGGATGTTTTGGTTGAAAAATCTGACACTGGATTTCTCACCAGTGTATACCGTAAACCCACATTTATGGGGTTATACACTCGATGGAGTTCGTTTTGCCCAAAACAAAGAAAAGTCAGCCTCATCAAAACGCTTACACATAGGGCACTGATGATTTGTTCCAAGTCTAAACTCGACTCGGAACTTGAAAAACTAACTAAGATTTTTCTGGAGAACGGCTATCCAGAAGATGTTATTTCAGTTTACATTAAGGAGAAGGTAGGAAATTTCTCGGCTAACGTAAACAGCTCCCTACTGCTGCATCGGTAACAGCTCCCTACGTTTTGAAAGCCAAATAAAACAGGCCATAACAAATTGTTTCTTCGTGGTTAACCCACGTGTTGCTTACAGTACAAAAAAGGCCCTTCCGTCCATTCAAAAGGACAGCGTTCCTGCCACAAAAAAAGTTCTGTTGTTTATGAGTTTACGTGCCAGTGTGATTCTGGCTACGTAGGATGCACCACCCAAAGATTGGAGGATAGGGTAAAACAACACGTTCCATCTAATATTAGAAACAAAACACATCCCCAAAGAGAACAGCCACCTCGGTCTTGCAAATCCAAAATTACTACTTAGACCTGCGATTTTGCTATCAGGCAGCATTTGCTAGAAAACCCAGATTGTGCAAAAAATTATAATGGCGACATGTTTTGGATTATTGGTAAAGCCCGATCATCGTTCCACCTAGCAGTTTTAGAGTCTATCTACATAAGCACGAAAAAACCGCTACTGTGTAGACAAAAGGAGTTCGTTTTCACCTTAGGACTCCACTGGTAACATTCTAATAGGCAAGCGACACTGATTGGTCAACCTTTACAGTCATGTGCTCGTGTTTCTGATTGGCCTATTTAGATCCACAACTGGGTATATATAGTTCTTAGGGTAGAGTTTTCGATCTATGTTCTGACGTTTTAAACTCTGAAGAGTGTCAGACGAAAAGCTTTAGTTTACTAAATGTTTGTTTTTTTCAAAGCCATTTATAACTTTCTTTATCCTTGACTTACCTCATATACAATAACATCAGAACATTAAATTCCTCAAGAGTATCTATGTGCAGGTAGCTTTGTGACCCTTGGTACCCTTGGTACCTTGTTTATGAGAATGGAATATACAAGTATCAAGTTATGTAAAATGAAACTAAGTGGTGGGACCCTCCAGCACGTTGACATTTCTCAAGAGTTGATATGACTATCTATGTGCTGGTAGCTTGGGACCCTCTGTAGCCTCTAGGTACTAGGCTTGGGGTTGTTTATTGATGTTTTTATTGCGTGCATCTCTTTTTGGTTATATATGCTTCCTGTTTTCCTCCATTGTTAGGTAAATGATAATTTTTGAATTTAGCCAATCATAGGTGATGTCACAAAAACGTCTACAAGACCCCTTCTCCTGGACTTCATCAGACTCTCCCTCAACCAAGAGTTGCACAAGTCCATACGAAGATTTCCACCTTTCTACCCAGTGGTTGGAGGCCTTGAACTCTTTTATAGCTGAACTCTTTCAAAGTTGCTTTGCAATTTCCAAAGCTTTTTCTTGATGCATAGGACCATTTACAGGCACCAAAGACTCTAATTCTATCTTGTACCACGCATGCAAGGCTTCGTTTCTTTCATGGTACTTGCCAGATCGTGCCTGTTTACTGGATCCTCGAAATTCACCACAAGTCTGTCGAACTTTTGCTTCATCCTTTAAGAGGTTGCAATAGGCTCTTTGCAGCTGGGGGTCACATGCCTAGATACCGCATGGCAACGATGTACTGGAGAGCAAGCGTTCCAACAGCGGCCGGTGTAAACAATCAAAATAGTGGTAGCGTGCGACGATTTTTTTACCTTAGAGTGTCTTTTCTGAAGTTTTTACAGCTAATTGAGTTGCAAGTTGATTCTAGCTTGCTTTTATCTACCTTTTTACCAACATCAGTACGATTTCAAGATTCAAATCAAACAGCGCTGGGTTGACCTGTAAGTGAACCTGGCCTAAATGGAGCTCCCAACAGAAGGTGAGAGTTTTTCTAAGCTTTTACATTGCTTTACATCATACTATGCAGAACACAAATGAGATTTTTATGCTATGAGTTGTCAAGTCTGTGGGTTGTTATATGATTTGTTTTATTGACCGTTTATTGAAGGAAATACGGCTCTTCAGTCGGAAGCAGCTGCTGTCGAAGAAGAAGAAGCTGTCCCTGTTAGTCTGGAAAGAAAAAGGAAAAAATCGGCTTATCATTGTTGTGTTCCTCGTTGCAATGGAGATTCGAGATATCATCAGGATTTGCGTTTTCACCGTATTCCTGGCAGAGATAAAGACAAGCAGCTAAAGGCTCAGTGGCTCGTTAAGATCAGAAGGGACGAAGGACCTTATTTCAAGGCAAGTCTTATAATAGCGTTGTGGTTACTGCTCGGATAAATATATCTTGCTCGAATAAATTAATCCAACCCCACACCCACCCATTTTGTCGCAATGGAGAAAAAATATTGGGGAAAGGCCCATGCCACGTCCACTCCCCTATACAGTTAGTTTCCACTACAACCATGTCAATGCTTGATAAGAAGTAACACACTTTTATTTCATGTCAGTTTTGTTCATGCAGATAACTTCAAACACAAGAGTTTGTTCCCGCCATTTTGGAGCAGATGACTACAAAGAGCCAGATTCTTCAGGGCGTAGACTTTTGAAGGAAGGGGCAGTACCCTCAATTTTTGATTGGGCAGCTGAGCCAAAGACTCGAAGAAAAATTGTGCGTCACACAAACAGGTAATATTCAAAATGATCATTGGATTCATTGTTTTTTGGACTTCATTAGGTTTCATTTTATATATTTGGAAAATCATTGTTATTTTAAAGTTATTTACTATTTCAGATTAAATTTTAATTTTTTAGATTAAAGATTATATATTAAGCATCTTAAGAATCATTAATTTAGCCACTTAGCAAACTTCCAGGCAAATAATTAGTGCAACTACAAAATGGTCTTTATGTAGAAAGCCTTTGCCATACATGAATGTTGGCTTTAAAGAAGACTAAGAAGAAGGTGTTCTAAAATATTAGCTTCAAAGCAAGTCTAGATTTTGCATGTTGTAATTGTACTCTTGTAGGTTGACTGATACAGAAGATCTTGCAGAAGAACAGAGACACGATACTGAAGATGATGCTATGAAAATGGAGCTGCTGGAAGAGGAGCTGAGGAGTCTGCAAATAGAGCTAGATGAAACAAAGGATGCTCTGTTCAGAACCAAAAGTGAGCTTGAGGCCAGTAAAAGACTGGCCAAAGAGGAAATGGAGAAAGTTTGTAGAGAGATGGCTGACCTGCAAAGGTCTACAATGGAGCAGCTTAAAGTTTCAAGATTTGGTTTGGAGCGGTTCTCAACAGACAGTGCTTCAATCAAATTTTATACTGGGTTTCCAACCTATTCCCATTTGAAAATATTCTTTGAACTTGCTAGAAGAGGGGCTGAGTTCATGAAATATTGTTATGCTTCAGGAGAAAGAGGAAGTCGACCTGCTTCAAGACAACTTCAACAGATTGATGAGCTGTTCCTCTTCCTTGTCCGGCTTAAGCTGGGTTTATTTGAGCAGGATCTAGCAGATCGATTCCAAATGAATATCTCTTCCATTAGTAGAAAGTTAACAACTTGGGCAAATTACTTGTATTTCTTCTTGGGCAGTCAGCCAATTTGGCCAACAAGGGAATGCATCCAGAAGTATATGCCACATGGATTTCGTAGGATGTATCCAGCAACAAGAGTCATAATTGACTGTACAGAGATATTTGTACAGACACCATCGTCTCTGCTTCTTCAGTCACAGCTCTATTCATCCTACAAATCAAACACCACAATGAAGGGGCTCATAGGAATAACTCCACATGGTGCAATTTCTTTTGTGTCATCTCTTTACACTGGGTCAATCTCTGATAAAGAAATAACAAGATGCAGTGGAATATTGGAATTGCTAGAACCAGGTGATGCAGTGATGGCAGATAAAGGTTTTGATGTGGAAGATTTACTAAAAGAAAAAGGAGTAGTCCTTAATATTCCTCCCTTTTTACAAAAACAGACACAATTTAAACCAGTTGATGTGCAAGAAACAAAAACAATTGCCAAACTTCGGATACATGTTGAGAGAGCAATTAGAAGGATAAAAGAATATCACTTTTTTGATTCAGACATTCCACTCTCTACATTAGGGTCAATTAACCAAATGTATACAATTGCTTGCTTGCTAACAAACTTTCAAGGACCACTAATACAAAAGAAATAGATTTTGCAGCTAATCATGATCATGACTTAAACACTGAATAGTTGTTACAAAAAATAAGTGAAAAAAATATATCTACTTTGTCTTTTGCTTCTTGAAAGAATTCTTTATCAAAAATTATTCGGTCACAAATAAACAAGCTGTCATTGATGTAGCTAAAGAAATCACACCATTGAAGCCCAGTGAGGCCAAGTTGACACTGAACTTGGTAGAAGTAAATATGGTTTCTTTTCAGACTGTATGCTCCAGTGACTGGGTTAAGTTCAAGATAACCAACGTTGCAAAAATTTGTTTCTCCCTCTTTTACCACCTTTATCTCAAGAAGACCAAAAGGATTCTGACCAGAATTCACAGCTGATAAGTCATACACTTTGCGATCAGGGCTGCACCCAAGCCAAGGAGACTTGGTATTTATAATCAGCCCTGACGGAAACAAGTTAACTGTGTTTTGCCTTAGGTTCTGGGCATAAATGGTAGCTGCTCGTGGTTCTAAGTCAATGCCTCTCTTCATAGCAGCAGTTTGAACATATTTACCTGAGCTTAGTTGTTTAACAAGCATCTCAAAATTGCCAATTCTTTTTGCAACAAGTCCAAATTTACTGGCTGTAATTCTTTTTTTCCTTAAAAGATGCCATACAGCACTTGTGGCTTGAGAAACCGTTTTTTCATGAATGTCCCTCACCGTTTCCTCTATTACATCAAGGGAATCCAGCAATGCTTGCTTGTTCTTATCAAGGCAAAGAGAAAAATTGTTCTCAAACCTGTCTCCTGATGTTTCTAAAGGAAGGTCTGGGTAGGCAGTACATGTATAATCATTAATAACATATTCCACAGAATAACTCTGTTGGTAAGACAAGAGACTTCCTTTAGGTACATTTCCAAACTTGCAAGCTGCTGTTGGTATCTGAGGAATCTGGCTATTGCTTGGCAGAAGGGTAGCCACAAGTGGCTCAGGATCAAGTCCAAGGAATTGTTCTTTAGTTAAGATGTCATAGTATTGTGCTGGTGAATACAAGTTGCTTTTGATGAATCTACTGTAATCTGCACCAATTTGTGGTTTTTTCACCATTACATCTTGGATTTCATTTTGGGCAATCTTCTTACCTCTTGGTATGCTCCATCTTTGCTTCATGCTAGTGCAAGTGAGCTCATCAGGAAGTGCTGATAAACCAAGCTGCTTGCAATGCGCCAGGTAAAACAAAATACCAATTATATGATGACAGTATCCACTCAGCCCAGCAACATATGAGCATTTGGCTGATATTGCATTGGTTTTTAAAAAAATAAATACATTTAAATAATGCTGGGCCTCATTTTTCTTCATGGATCGGTAACACCTTGCTTTAATTGTAGCTGTGTTTTCATTATAGTTCACTAAAAATGAAGAAAACAGAAATGAAAATCAAACATTTACAAAATTATGCCAAGATGATCTCAAACAACTTCAGAGACATAATAGGAATAGTGTACCCTTTACATATAAAATCAATGCACTGTTTCTCTTAATGCCAGATTTCATAGATTTACAAACAACTTGTTTTCCTTATTGTTTTATTCAATTTTCAAAATCAGTTTATCTCTGCCACACCTTTCACGGAAAAGGTTTTTCATCAAGGAAATATCAGGAAAGAAACCAACAAAGTGGGGAAGCCACATTTGTTTGCCAACAAGTGACAAAGCACATCTATATGGTAAAACACCTTGTTTTCAAAACGAAGTCTTTTCAATGTTTGAGGGGTGGGGGGTTGTGTTGTATGACACTACCAAGTCAAAGCTAAAACCCTGGTGAAACCATATTCAAGAAGTAACATTTCAAAAAGTTAGTATCTTTTATGAACTTACGATGGATGTCATGTAGGTAGCCAGGCTCAGCAAAAAACTTGTATGCCTTTTCAGTATTTTGACAACCAGATTGTCGTTTTGCGTACTTCTCAACATCAGTGAAAGTAATTGAAGGAAGTGAAGAAAGTGCCTGAGTCCACTCAACTAAACCAAAAATGAATTTCTAATAGAAGTTATTTCGCCGGTTAATTGTCATTAATCCCGTTTAGATAAAATGTAAGCTAATAAATATGAGAAAGACGAAAATAGGAAAAAAGAACCAATAAGCACGGGAGTGCGCAGAAATAAAGAGGCAATGGCAATGTAAAAGCATCTTTATGTATGTTTAATTCAAGGAATCTAAGCAAATTCAAAGAATCGAAGCAAATTCAAAGAATCGAAGCAAATTCAAGGAATCGAAGCAAATTCAAGGAATCGAAGCAAATTCAAGGAATTGAAGCAAATTCAAAGAATCGAAGCAAATTCAAGGAATCGAAGCAAATTCAAGGAATCGAAGCAAATTCAAAGAATCGAAGAAAATTCAAGGAATGGAAGCAAATTCAAGGAATCGAAGCAAATTCAAAGAATCGAAGCAAATTCAAGGAATGGAAGCAAATTCAAGGAATCGAAGCAAATTCAAAGAATCGAAGCAAATTCAAAGAATCGAAGCAAATTCAAGGAATTGAAGCAAATTCAAAGAATCGAAGCAAATTCAAAGAATCGAAGCAAATTCAAAGAATCGAAGCAAATTCAAGGAATTGAAGCAAATTCAAAGAATCGAAGCAAATTCAAAGAATCGAAGCAAATTCAAAGAATCGAAGCAAATTCAAGGAATTGAAGCAAATTCAAAGAATCGAAGCAAATTCAAAGAATCGAAGCAAATTCAAAGAATCGAAGCAAATTCAAGGAATTGAAGCAAATTCAAGGAATCGAAGCAAATTCAAGGGATCGAAGGAAATTCAAAGAATCGAAGCAAATTGAAGGAATTGAAGCAAATTTAAAGAATCGAAGCAAATTCAAGGAATTGAAGCAAATTCAAGGAATCTAAGCAAATTCAAAGAATCGAAGCAAATTCGAGAAATTGAAGCAAATTCAAAGAATTGAAGCAAATTCAAGGAATCTAAGCAAATTCAAAGAATCGAAGCAAATTCAAGGAATTGAAGCAAATTCAAGGAATCGAAGCAACATTTTGTTCCAACTGCCAATTCTAATCCTTCAACTGGAGGGGTGTATCTAATACCTCTGGCCTCGAATTTGAACCTAAGAAGGATAATTTTACACTGGTTGCCTAATAAGTCTCTCTTTAAAACAAACAAAACATGTTCGGTCTGTAGGAAACTGATGATTCATCACGCAAAAATTTTAGTGAGTTCGAATTTCAGTTTATTGCAAAGATTCCCTCTGCTATTGCAATGGATATTCAAAGAAGAGTTGAAAAATTTATTAATTCACAAGACCCTGCAGCTTTGAAGGAACTTTTTGCGGATGAGCTGTTGAATCTTCGCTAAAGTATGCCTAGTTTTATTTGTCAAGAATTTGATCTGGCTAAAGATCATTGTGCGGAGATCATCTCGCCTGACCATGTCAAGGTCAAAAGTGGAGTATTTGCTTTCCCTGCCAGGTACCTTATCATTTACCCATAGGTTTAAAAGCCTTTAAATCAAAGCCACGAAAGCATCCAGAATCTGTCTTCTTGCACTTAATTGTTGTCTACATATGGAATAATGCAAGAAGTTATCCCTGTTGAAAATGTATGGCTATTTTTGAATTGCAAAACCTTTGAAACTTGTTTCAAAAAAGTATATTTTTGTACCTTTGTGCTACGATATGCATATAACAAATCAGTGTAGGTTACTTGTTAAACAGTTACTTGCTGTTTGTTTATCCTCCAAGATTTTTATCTCAACAGTGATCAAGAAATTAACTTTATCAGTCTGTGTTGTTTGTACTCTGGTTTTCAGGTTTAATGTAGTCTACTGTTAGGAACTTTTCTAACCTCTGAAGTAATTTTTTTACAAGTTACCTAACAATATTACATCTTAATTATCTCAAAATTTTCTGATTGTTTTTATTTGTTTTTGCATAACATGACATTTTTTTCAACTGCAAAATCTTTATTTCATAATAAATGAAACATTGACCCTGAAAATTAAAGGTAATGTGTCCATATAAGAGGACTGTGTATACCCAACTTGTCAAGCCACCCATCAAAATAACGGTTTACAATTGGTTAGTATTCTTGCAGAGCAAAACTGCTCACATGAAAAGCTGACCTCGCAGCAGGATAGATAAAAAGAACGACCGTAATAGCTGGGGCGATGACATGAAGAATCACATGTTTCTAAAAACCCCCGCAGAGTCGCTTGCTTTAGCTGAACACATTACCTTTAAGATAGCTTAAAAGGATCATACTTCCTAAGAAAGTCAAGGTAGTCAAGTTTGTTTACATTTTTGATTTTTTTAAATCAGCTTTTTTGCATAAACCGATGTTATAAAACCATATAAATAACTTTTTCTATTGTTACGCAGAACAGTTAAACAACTTTCTTTGGAAATAATACAGTTAATTTCAAATTTGAATTTTATGTTTGGTTCATGAACTTGGACTGTTCTTCTACTTTGAATTTATGAATAAATTTGAGCTTTTTACCCCTGTCTCTGTTTTACTTTAGTCTTGTAATTTTGACATAATACATACAATGTATTCATCTGAAAGCGTTTTGAGTGTACTTTAAATATCCCTTGATGCAGAATCAAATCTGATGGTAGCTGTCTGTACACTGCAACATTTGTGGCTTTGACTGGCAATGAAAAGCTGTCCTATATTTTTGAGGGCTTTAACTTCTGCTAAGTTATACTTGTATTGCAATTTCTATGCATCAAATCAGCATTTTACTGCCCTTTTGGCACAAGGGCAGAAAAGCAGTCTCTTAAAGACAATTTTTTCTTCTTCTCTAACCTCAATACCTTCTAATGTTGTTCACCACCAGCTAGAAGATTATTCGGATTTTGCTCGGCAGGAGGCACTTAATAATTGCCAGGATGAAAAATGGAGTCCATTTATTTGCCTGCTTGCTTTATCAAGTGTATTAGGTATACCAATTGACTTTTATTTACCAAACATTGAAAAAGGCACTGCTGCATATGATTTACGTAACACATATATTGAGCCAAGAGAGGATACTGACCCTGCTAAGACACCAATTCATTTCTTATTGTCATCAAATAACCCTGAAAATGCTCACCTTCAGCCATTCAAGCCAAGTCACGTTGTTCCAGTTTTTTTCAAGAACAAAAGATCTGTATCTGTACTGTCAAAAATGAAGTAGTCAGCAATTTCATTCCAAGTAGTTTCTAGCAGGGTGGTCAATAAAAAAGAAAACTCAATTATTTGGATCAAGGAACCTGAAGATCTTGTCAGTGCAGCTGATGATTCTCTTTCTGTCATTGATAACAGTCTTGAAGAGCAAATATCATATCATTTCCTTCCACCCCTACCTCTGTCTTCTCAAGACCAAACAGTCAACATTTAAGCCTGCTTTGAGGATATATCTAACTTCTATAAAATTTCACAGGAGCAATCGTTGAAGAAAAATTTAACAACATCTTGGAAAAAATCAAAAGACCAGATGCAACTTTTTCTTACCCTTCAAAAGTTTCATACAGTGGGAAAAACATAAATTCGATCATTCCTGGTTTGCCAACTATCCTTGGTAGGTATTGGAAGCATACACAGTTCGCAAACTGTCAAGATATTGTGGAACATTCTAGTTTAATCTCTCATGTCATTCTAGTATATTCGTAGTATTAGTTCAATTCTATTTTCTGCAATAATAATTACTTCTGCTTTCTCAAACCTTCTGGAACGATACTTTTCTTCAAACTTTTAGAACATTACAATAAACATATAAAAGAGCATTGCTGTATTAGGTTAGTTAGTTGTCCATATTATTACATCTGCGTTAATCAAACTGCGTTAGTCTGTGAATACCTTCAGCATAAGGAACTGCATGGTGCATTATGTTTAACTTGTGCTCTTTTTGGCCGCCACATTAGTCAGAATCCATCAAAGCTTGAAAGTTGATCTCAAGCCCCATAACCAACTGGTCCTCGGCTAACCAGAAATTTAAAGACATGAAGCCAATTGTGAACTTCATAAACAGCCCTTGTTACGATGCAGCACTTTTTGAATGTTATGGATAATTAGATGAAGCCTATTGCTCAAATTGATAACAGTCTGATAGATGAAACTATTCAAAAGAATAAGATGAATTTGTCCTCAATAATAAAAACGCTGATATTGTTTGCTCCACGAAGCTTTTCTTTTCGTGCTCACAGGGACGACTCTCAATATTATGACACAGAAAAACTGTGGGAACTTTCAAGCACTTTTGGATTTTAGAATTGATAGTGGTGATGAGATACTTAAAGAGCAGTTTTCTACTGCACCCCGCAATGCTACTTTACGCTCAGAAACATCGCAAAATGAAATAATTTCTTGCTGTGCCAATCTTATTAACAAAGAAATAATCGATGATATCAAAGCAGCAAAATTCTACTCCATCCGGGCAGACGAAGTTAATGATTGCTCCAATAGGGAGCAAATGTCTCTTGTTCTAAGATATGTAGATGGGAAGGGAAATATTCAAGAAAGGTTTATGAAATTTATTCTTTGTGACATTGATGTGACAAAATTATCCATTGCATCACAGGGGAATTGGGCCTTGATATAAATAATTGCTGTTGGCAATGTTATGATGGTGCAGGTAATATGGCAGGCAATTATTCTGGAGTTGCAACAGATATTTGCTCCAGTTATAATTTAGCATTATTTACTCACTGCGCATCCCATCGGCTTAAAATGCATATCACCCCTATGAACAGAAACCATTAACCGAATATTTTAAATATGAAGAATAATGTGAGAAAAAGAAAATTTTGATTTTGATTCATCGTCTATGTTTTATCTTGTTCTTAATTTATTGATGAAATATGCAACTTGCATGAAAGGCTCTACATTTTTCTGATGTCATTTAAGGAAAGATATTAATTTGAGCTTTAGTTGCTCTGTTTGTTGACTACAAAGTGAATTTGTGCTTGTAAATATATTGTTGGTGCTTGCTGAAACATGATGAAACAGCTTCGCCGTCAGATGACAGTCAAAGCGGTTAAGACTGCAGTTACAGCGAAGAATATATTGGAGCTGCCACCAGAGTTAAGTGTTAATGCCGATGCAAGGATTGTAGTTCCCTATTCCAAATAACCACTTGCAGATGAGGCTTGGTTGGAAGAGTAAAGGAGAGAAAAAGAAGAAGAGCAAAGAGAAGAAGACAAATTGAAAAAAAGACTTGATGATAGCACAAAGCTTAAATCCTGGTAAGTTACGTGCCAAGTTTTGGAAGTTGTAAGAAAGGGCCTAGGTATTTGACAAATGCAACCTGGATGAGTTTGAGAACGTGTATACTTTGGCTACACGTTTTTTACCCTTAAACTTGCGTGTAATTGCAAGCCAGTGTAAGTTTCCAACTAAAACATAATAGAAATTTAAGGGCATTGGCTCATTCGCCTCGGCCAGGCTTGCTCTTGTCAAAGGTGGTTTTGTTTCAAACAACAGACCTCGTTCCACTGGAAATCGGGATACAAAAAAGGGAGGTAAATCAAGGGGCTTTATTTTATCTTGATTAGATATGAAAACTTTTCTTTCTTTGGCCACCCATTTTCCCCTGCGCTATTTGAGAACCTCTTCTGACAAGTGCTGTTCTGACAAGTGATGTTTCCATCCTTACCTAAAGTTTGTAAAACACTTGATACCATTTTATAACATATTTCTTAGGTGTAAATGTGGGAAATGTGACATAATATTGTTGCAAAATGCAATAGAATGTAGATGTTGCTTGGAAATTGATCTTTGTGTTGAGGCAACAAATGATGAGTTGTTGTTCAGAGAACTTGGTTGTGTGCCATCATGTATGACCCAACATCCAGGATTCAGGTCAGTATGTCTTGAAACATGGTCATTGCATCTTGCATCTACAAAATATAAGACAAAGATATAGGCATACTGGATCTGTTCCTAAGGAGAAATTTCTTAGGAGTGTCTCGTATAGAGAGTTTACAAGCCTGGTCAATGGAACCATAGGAAAAAGGAGAGTACCATTGCCTGCATGTGCATATTATGCAATTTGTAACAAACTTAAAGAAAATGACATATTTACAGGGTATGTGGATGAGAAGGTCAAGCATCACAGTGAAGAGGTTTGACAGAACAGGGGTATGCTAAAAATTTTAATCAAAGCAGTTTTTCTCTTGCATAAGCAGGAGCTATCATTTAGAGGTCATGATGAAAAGGACGACAGATTAAACAGAGGTAATTACAGGGAACTTTTTGAGTGTTTTGCAAAATTTGACTCGGTGATTGAACTTTGTTTACATGGAAGGTTAGCAGGTCAAGAAGGTGGAAATGCTTGTGTATTTACAGGGGTATCTTCTGAAATTCAAAACGATTTGATTGATTGTATCGACTCTGTGATTCAAGATGTCATTGACAAGGAAGTAAAAGAGTGCACCTTTCTGAGCATGCAAGTTGATGAAACCACAGACGTGACTACTAAAGAACAGCTCAGTGTCATTATTCGTCTGGACAGAAAAGATGAGATTGTAGAAAGGTTTTTAAGGTTTGTCAATATAAGTGCAGACAGGTCTGCATCTGCCAGTGGTGTTGTGAACAATATTTTGCACAAGTGTGGAGAGTCACTATGAAATAAATTGATCTGGTCATATTGCTGGTATGCAGGCACTTGTACGTGATAATTATTCTTTAGCTCGTTTTTTCATTGTACAGCTCACAAATTAAGCCTTGTTTTGTGCCAGTCTGCTTCTTTAATATCTGCTGTAAAGGTTTTCTTTGCTAATGTTAGTGCCTTCAGTAATTTTACAAGCCTCAGTTCCAGAAGAAAAGAGCCATTTGTGTCTCATAGTATTGATATTCCAAGACCTGCTGACAGAAGATGGTACTACAGAGGTCGCATAATAGACCTGTTTCCTGATACAGATGCCATTTTGAAGCGTAATGCATTCTGGGATGGCATATTATTAGTTGATGGTGTGCAAATTCTTTCACCTGAAAGCATCAAAGACCATTGGTTCGAACGGAGTGAATATTTTCCCGATCTTACTTTGGACATCGTCCAGTCCTACAGGGAATTATCCGAATCGACGAAGGCCTTCAAAGAAGGAAAGAATCTTCTAAATTCCGGTCATGTGAAATCCGTACTTTTTTTAGGATATCAGACACAATAAAGACTTATTTTATAAAGGCATCTGTTGTGCCACAAACTCAAATCTCTGAAAGACCATACACTGTTTGGGTTTGTTCACGAAATGACACTTCTCTTATCCTGACCGGTGAATGTAATTGCCTTGCTGGTGGTCAGTAAATCTTGCAAACATGTATTTGCCTTGCTTCACTTCATTAAAAGTGAAGTCTATCTGGGAAGAAATAAGTCTTGTACACGGAAAAAGCAACAATGGGATGTGCACATTTCAAAGCAGAAAAGACACATTTGCCATGTGAAATTTCATCTCTTCTCATTGAACACTCTTATCGTATAAGCAAATCTTCCAGCCACGCAACAGCAAGGAAAGAATATGAACCACGTTCCAGAGCTGATTTGTCTGTCGTTTTTGGTGATGCTGACTGGGAAGGTGTGGCTGAAGCTACTGATAGAACGGCTAGTGTTCTTCAGTTTAAAAAAAACAAAAGGGGACAAATGTATGGTTTCTTCTTCTTCCCTTTTCTTGTCTTTGAGGTCATCTTTTTCCTCATCTTATCTTCTTCCTACTTCAATTCCAGAAATTGCTTCCAAATGTGAAGATGCTGAATCTTTCATTTCTACACTGCATTTTTGTAGGTCCCCTCATGATTTAGAGAAAATTTCTTATCTGACTATCGGCCAATCTTCTTCTGAAGACTGGAAAAATTATCGCCTTGGCCTTATCACTGCATCTGTTGTTCATGAAGTATTAAAGAAAGTTGACAATGAATTGCAAATATCAAATTTTCCATCAGCATATGATCTTTGTGCCAAGATTTGTGGATATTATCCTGATTTTAGCAGCAAGTCTGTGAGCTGGGGCAAAAACAATGAAGATTTTGCTCGCAAAAGATACATCAAGAAGAACAAAGGAAAGCACAAAAGTTTCTCTTGCACCACATCTGGTTTATATATCTCTGCAGCATATCCTTTTCTTGGTTGAACACCAGATGGTATTCTGACCTGTCAATGTTGCGGTTCAGGGGTTTTTGAAATCAAATGTCCATTGAGCAGCCGTGACCTTGACATTTCCGAATATATTGATAAACCTGACTCAAACTTAATCAAAGTTGATGGATCAATTTTATTGAGGCCAAAACACCAGTACTGGTATCAAGTACAGCACCAGATGTTTATAACTGGAGATAACTACTGTGACTTTGAACTCTTTTTGCCAAAACAATTAATAACATTAAGAATCTTAAAAGATGCTGAGTATGTAGTGGACTGTGTGCCAAAGTTTACTAGATTTTTTATCTTAATTATTTTACCTGGATTGTTTTTTTAAATAAAACTAGAAACAGAATGCAAGCTACTTTTGAAAGGCGTTGTAAACGTGTATCAGATTGTATTTAATGAGACGATAAGTGAGAGAGAAATAAACATAACTTTTATACATTAGTTTTGTTTTGTCTGCATACATCTGTCTTTTTACACAATATTTAACTAACTTTTTTATATTCATGCACAACTTAGTTTTTAGCTTCACATACAAGAAAGTTTGCTACATTAGTTACATAAAATACAGAGCTAGTGTTGAGTTTTCCTCAGTATATTATTTTATTAAGATAAAATTTGACATACAAATATTGGAAAGACAATAGTTTCTTTCTTCAAAAAATAATCATCTATAGACTCTTTGATAAATAGTATTGTTTTCGATATTCGATATGGTTGAATAGTATTATTTTGAAGGTCCAGGTGTATATCTAAAAAGTCTAGTTTTGAGATTTGTCTTAATTGAATTAGATAGTCCACACTCCTTGAATAATTTGGATTACTCACATTCCATAAAGACAGCCCGGAAAAGCCAACAGACCAGGATAGCAGGGAGTTCCTCAAGACAATCCTCTCTACATCAAGTCTACCGGACAGGTTGTGGAATACAGCACTTGAAGTAGGGGCTGCGCTCTTTACCACGGCAATACAGTATAAAGTTGCCCAGACCCTGATTAGCAACCCACCTGATTACGCTAATAAAATGACGTTTTATCCAAACCCTGAACCCACTTTCAAATCTTCAAAAAGCCTTCTGGATCTTTTGCTGGATGTAAACTAAACTGCTGTTGTTATGACTTGGTTGCTAAGGCCGTCAAAAGTTGTTTGACCCCTTGGCATCCAAAAATGCAATGCGTTTGAAAATGACGCCCGTTTCAGGAAACAGGTCTATTTGTGTTATTTTCCAAAAGTATGAGGCACTTCTTGACATTCTAGAAGACCTTGTGGAAAATACAAGTGGCTCTAGAATGGCCTTTTCCAATACCTCAATTGCTTCCTGTTTCGCTTTTTGACAGGCCTCTTTAACAAAATTTTGGAACAGTCCACCATTTTTTACAAAGTTCTCCAAAATAGGAAAACAGATTTCTCTCATGGTGTTTCAAAGAATAAAAGATTTTGGAACTTTTCTTTCTGATTTGCGCTCAGATCAAGGATTTGAAAATATCTTAAGTTTTGCTGTAGAAATTGTTGGACAACTAACACCAAGATCTGACAAAAAAGTGAATTACAAGCAGCTCTACTTTCAGATTATTGATAATCTTGTCCAGATGCTAGAGGAAAGATTTGAAAATTGTGAAAATATTTTATCTCGGATCATGTCAATCTTTATTTCTTTTCCCAGTGGAAAGATAATTTTCCAAAAGAGAATTTCCAACTTTTAAAAAGCAGATATGGTAGCTTTTTAAATATTCCTCTGCTGGAAAGCAAGCTGCTTTTTGTCTTCAGGGACAACGATTTCCAAAAAAAGTTCTTACATGGAGTTATTAGAGTATACGTATGATTTTGAATTGCATACTTGCTTTCCTGAAGTAATCTAACTCCTCAAACTGAATGCAGTGATTGCAGTATCCAGTGCCTCAGCTGAAAGGTCATTCTCATGTCTAGGGAGGGTTAAAAACCTACCTGAGGAAAAGAAGGTGACAGGAAAGACTGGCATCTTTGAGCAGAATATCTATACAAAAGGATGTTTTGAAAAAGTTTGAAAATTGGAGAAATTTATTCAAAAACCTAGAAGGCTAAACTTTTTATTCAAATGAAGCATTATTGACAATGACAAAAAAATTTGAAATGTGTCTCTGGATACATTATAGCTTGCTGATAAGAAAACTGTTGCTGATTAAAAAGCTACCAAAGGACATTTTTGAGAACTTCTTATTATAACTTTTTGCTGATTAAAGAACTGGGTGCATGCTTAAAACTATGAAGAGTCAATATCATTGCAACTATTGTGCAGTTTTTTTCAAAGCTTGAATTCAATGTGGATGGAGAAGCGTATCTGTTACAAACACGAAACAGAATTACCTGCCAATAAATCTCTCATAAATGCTCCTATTAAATGATCCATCTTATTATAGTAGACACTAAGCTTCTCTCTACCCAATGAAGGTAGTGATCCTGTCTGTTTTGTGATTAAAAGGCAAAAGATATCAACACCATTGTCAGGAAAACATGGCATTTCTAGGTTTTCTCCAGTTAATTCCTCTCAGTTTCATAAGTTAGCATCCAAAACTGATGAGGCAATCAAAGAAGAGTTAAACAGCTTAAAATGTATTGTTGAAGGCTGTTTTAGTAACATAAAACTTAAGACTTTGGCAAGGCAGAAATCTAGAGGGTCAAGGTCAGGCATAATTCAAAGCACCCTACTTCTTATAACGTATTGAAAATGTAGGTGATCCATTTGATAGGTCCATATGTCATGGTCACAGGAAGAAGTGGTATAATTATAACTACTATTTGAAGGGCACAATTTTGATGAGGCCCTTGGATGCACTGGTATACAGAATTAGACCATGAACAGTCATGTCAAGAAGAGATCTCCATTTTTTCAATTTGCAATGACAGTAAAGAAAGCTTGGTTGTCAAAATTTTTGATTTCCTTGGTTATTATGATCTACAAAGGCTTGTCCTGACTCGCAAAGGATTTAAAACTGGTGTTTTGAATTATTAAGTCTGATAATGTTTGAGAGATTATTAAAGCACCATTACTAGGTTGATAGGAAATTGAATGGGAAATCCTTTAAAGTGTTTTTCGAAGCAACCAACCTGTACTGTTTTAATGTAAAGGGAACTTACAATTGTGATCTTGATCCTCAAAGAAATATAATGCAGTTAAGCCATGAGTTTTCTTCCAATGACAGTAAAAGGAGTGATCTCTGAAAGCTTCTTAAACTATTTGGTGAAAATAGAAAAGCAAGTGCTCTAGAAGTTCTTATTTATTTTGCTGCAATTGGATTACTCACATTCCATGAAGACAGCCCGGAAAAGCCAACAGACCACGATAGTAGGGAGTTCCTCAAGACAATCCTCTCTACATCAAGTCTACTGGACAGGTTGTGGAATACAGCACTTGAAGTAGGGGCTGCGCTCTTTACCACGGCAATACAGTATAAAGTTGCCCAGACCCTGATTAGCAACCCACCTGATTACGCTAATAAAATGACGTTTTATCCAAACCCTGAACCCACTTTCAAATCTTCAAAAAGCCTTCTGGATCTTTTGCTGGATGTAAACTAAACTGCTGTTGTTATGACTTGGTTGCTAAGGCCATCAAAAGTTGTTTGACCCCTTGGCATCCAAAAATGCAATGCGTTTGAATATGGCGCCCGTTTCAGGAAACAGGTCTATTTGTGTTATTTTCCAAAAGTATCAGGCACTTCTTGACATTCTAGAGGACCTTGTGGAAAATACAAGTGGCTCTAGAATGGCCTTTTCCAATACCTCAATTGCTTCCTGTTTCGCTTTTTGACAGGCCTCTTTAACAAAATTTTGGAACAGTCCACCATTTTTTACAAAGTTCTCCAAAATAGGAAAACAGATTTCCCTCATGGTGTTTCAAAGAATAAAAGATTTTGGAACTTTTCTTTCTGATTTGCGCTCAGATCAAGGATTTGAAAATATCTTAAGTTTTGCTGTAGAAATTGTTGGACAACTAACGCCAAGATCCGACAAAAAAGTGAATTACAAGCAGCTCTACTTTCAGATTATTGATAACCTTGCCAGATGTTACAGGATAAATTTGAAGATTGTGAAAATGTTTCCTTCTTGGATCATGTCAATCTAAATTTCTTTTCCCAGTGGAAGGATAATTTTCCAAAAGAGAAATTCCAACTTTTAAAAAGCAGATATGGTAGCTTTTTCAATATTCCTCTGCTGGATAGCAAGCTGCTTTTTGTCTTCAGAGACAACGATTTCCAAAAAAAGTTCTTACATGGAGTTATTAGAGTATATGTATGATTTTGAATTGCATACTTGCTTTCCTGAAGTAATCTAACTCCTCAAACTGAATGCAGTGATTGCAGTATCCAGTGCCTCAGCTGAAAGGTCATTCTCATATCTAAGGAGGGTTAAAACCTACCTGAGGAAAAGAAGGGGACAGGAAAGACTGGAATCTTTGAGCAGAATATCTATACAAAAGGATGTTTTGAAAAAGTTTGAAAATTGGAGAAATTTGTTCAAAAACCTAGAAGGCTAAACTTTTTATTCAAATGAAGCATTATTGACAATGACAAAAAAATTTGAAATGTGTCTCTGGATACATTATAGCTTGCTGATAAGAAAACTGTTGCTCATTAAAAAGCTACCAAAGGACATTTCAAGGAACTTCTTAAAGAACTGGGTGCATGCGCAAAACTACGAAGAGTCAATATCATTGCAACTATTGTGCAGTTTTTTTCAAAGCTTGAATTCAACGA